GACAGTCAGTGGTGAAGGGGTGGGCAGGGAGTGGCTTAAGACAGAAGAGGGATTTTTTTCAGTCCCAAATCCCACGGTGGTGATTGGGACAAAACTTCTCTGGTCATTTGGTTCCCCAGGCAGCTTCCTCATCTCTGGTTGGATCATGGAGTTGCTGCATTCTAGCCTGTACCGTTGTGAGGATGGGGAGGTAAGTCCAGGGCAGACAAGGCTGCACCATGGGGTCTCAGCACTGAGGTGCTCCTCAAGGCCCGTCAGTGGAGAACACACCTGGAACCTATCAGAGCAGGGTGCTCAGAGAGATCTGGGCGCCTCCAATGTAGCTTGAGTTAGGCCGGAGCCAAAGGGCAGACCCAGAATCTTCTGAGCTGCCCCTCCTGTGTTACTCCTCTCAGGAGTCCCTTCCTGCCTTTCTGTTCCAACACCAGTTAGGAGATGCTCATTTGCAAGCCATGTACATTCATTAGCATATGCAACCAAGTGCCTTGACAAAGCAAAGCAATCAGGATTTTTTTTGTGTGTTTGTTTTTTTAAAATCCTTAACCAAAGATAAGTTTTTATTTAGGGGGAGAGGGAGAGAGAGAGAGAGAGAGAGAGAGAGAGAGAGAGAGAGAGAGAGATCTGCAACCAGGTATGTGCCTGACCAGGGATCAAACCTGCTACCTTTCGGTGTATAGGATGACGCTTCAACCAACTGAGCCACACTGGCCAGGCTAACCCAGGAAGTTAAAACCAGAAAGAACAACAGGTCTTGTTCTAGTTCAAGACCTCCCTTTAATAGGTGAGGAAATGAAGGCCCAGAGGGATCAGGGACCATTCCTTTGGTCTCCACCCAAATTTGTTAGCTCAACTCTCCTGTACTGCTCCCTCCCTGGACTGGCGTGTAGAATTTATCACTAAATTTCTTCTATCATCCTAAATAGGAAAAATGTCTGCTTGGTCCCAATTCTGGCCGGCTAGAGCCTGGGTGCCTACTAACCCCTGGGTCTTTGACCAAAGTCAGGTCTGGAGGTCAAGGGTTTGGGACCTATCTTCATGACTGACTGCTTATTTATGATGCAAATTACCCCATCTGTAAACTCCCTGGACCCTGACAGAGAACTCTGCAGTTGACCTCCTTCCCCAAGGGTTTCCTGACACCTGCTTGTGGTAGAGGGAGGGGGCTGGGAGAGGACAGAAGGCCTAGGAACCAGGCCTTGTTAAAAAGCAGTTCTAAGAAGTCATCCATACCTTTCTCAGGCATTTGCTCTCCCGACAAAAATCCTCAGAGAGATCAGAAAAGGGAATTGGTTCTGTGGTCTCACGGTTAGTGTTCTGCCAGAAGCAGGAGTCCAGGAATGCCGACCTGGGCCAGAGCTTCCTCTCCCCGGAGTCTGCTCCACCTCACTAGACTTGACGTTTGTTATCTACCTGTACCTCTCATCCTTCTGATGAATAAGATGATGATGATGATAATGATGGTGATAATAATAGTAACAGCTGCCATGTATCCTGGCCTGTTTAAGGGGCAGGCACTGGGCTAAATGCTCCAATACATTATCACATTGTACTGAATTAAGGGGAAAGTTGCCACAGGTCCTATAGTTGGTAGTTGGCAGAGTTGGACATTGGACTCAGGCCTTTGTGCCCTCAAATCCTGTGTGCACACTGTGTGCAAATGAGAGCCCACGGAAAGTGCTTTGCGATGTGCAGAACTGATTGAAGGAATGGGAAGGAATACTTCCATCTGGTCATCAGGAGGCGCGCGCCTGCAGCGCTAGGAGAACAGAGCTGGTTTACAGGCCAATCAACACCTACGCAGTCAGAAATGACATCTGGAGTCGGAGTTATGGGTTTCAATCCAGGTTCTGCCACTATCTTGAAACCCTTGGGAAAGTGAGTTAACCTTTCTGGACCTCGGCCTCTGGTTGTGAAGTGGGAGTGGTTCTCCCCTCACAGGACCGGGGTGAGGACTAAAGGAAGCAGCCCACTTGCCCAAAGTAAGGGGGCCGAGGGTTTTAACTATTATTATCATTGACTCTCTCTCTCTCTCTTTTTCATGTTTTATTGGTTTTTAGAAAGAGGAAGGGAAAGGACAGGGAGATGGAAACATTGATGAGAAACATCATCAGTCGGCTGCCTCTTGCACATCCATCCCTCGCTGGGGATTGAGCCTGGAACCCAGGCATGTGCCCTGACCGGAAATCCAACCAGTGACCTCTTGGCTCATGGGTGGATGCTCAACCATTTAGCCACACTGGCCAGGCTCATTGACTCTCTTTCCCATAAGCACTTGCTCCTTTTATTATGATTATTTTTCAATGCTCTTATTAATCTGGGAATCCCTGTGCCTCCTCTCACAGTTTGATCAGAACAGGTTAGAAAAATGAAGTTTTGCTGATGGGATAAGAGGATTAGTCTGTAGCCCTTAAGGGAGCAGAGGAAACCGAGGACAGAGAGTGCAGATAAACCGTCTTAAAGTCATACAGCATGTCAGGGAGGCGGGAAGGTGGGGAGCTCGGCTTCAGAATCAGGAGGCCTGGGCTGACACCCGGCTCTACTGTTTCCAGGTGGCATGACCTTCAACGGGTCCCCTTGCCTCCCTGCACTGCTGTCTCACAAGGTGGTCACCAGGATTCATGAAATAACAGAGGTGCTCAGTCATTAAGTCTTTCTCCTTCCTCTCCTTCCTCTTCTCTCTTTTTTAAAAAATATATTTTATTGAATTTTTTACAGAGAGGAAGGGAGAGGTATAGAGAGTCAGAAACATCAATCAGCTGCTTCCTGCACACCCCCCACTGGGGATATGCCCACAACCAAGGTACATGCCCTTGACTGGAATCGAACCTGGGACCCTTTGGTCCACAGGCCAACGCTCTATCCACTGAGCCAAACTGGTCAGGGCCAGACCCCTCTCTTGAACCCGGCCTCATCTCCCTGCTCCCCCGCTCTCCCTGGTCCATCTCAAGTCTTGGGTAGTCCTTTGGAAGTCTCACCTAGAGCCAGCCTGACAAGGACAGATGGCGCCAACGTGTGTGTGAGGACAAGCCTTTGGGCCTGTGGGTCTGAGTGAGAGGCTGGGAGGCTGAGAATGGTGGGGTAGTGCGCCCGGACATCTGAGGCTTGGGGAGAGAAAAGGGGCACAGTGGGGGCTTGGGTAGCACAGGGTCACGGTTAAAGTTTGGGGGACTGGGTTGAAGCTGAGGCCTGGAGGGGGAGGATTTCTCAGCCAAAGCCCAGGACAAGTACCTGTCAGGATGGTCCCCATGGCCTTGCCCGGGGGATGGCCTTGCCCAGGGCCCCTCGAGGGACTGGGGTGTCGGGCCGGTGCCCGCCCTACCTGTGCGTAGTTGTCTTCGCAGTAATCGGCGACTCGCAACAGGGCGCTGTGGTTGCCCCGCAGAGCCTCCCGGCCCGTGGGGATCTCGAACTCCTGCAGCTGCTGCAGCTCTGCCATCGCCCCAGCTCTGCCGGCTCCGTGGGAGCGACTGGTTTTGTGCCTCAACCTTCCCTTGATTGGTCGCTCTGCCTGCCCTCTCTCTCACCGCTTTTGGTTTCCTCTTCGTGAGAGACCGAAACCTGCCTGCAAAGGGCAGGCATGCTCATTCCGGGACAAGAGGAAGTCAGTGCCTGCTCCCGGGGCCTGCGCCGTTCTGTCCCCTGCCCAGAGGAAGGGGACAGCCAATGGTCCCTTTGGGGGCCCAGCCTCCCAACCTCTCCCCTCAGAGGAAGTCAAGGTCGGGGCGTCTGCGATTGCTCCCTGGGCCTGGAGAGGAAACTGTTGGGGAGGGGGGTTGATTGTGGAGGAAGGGGGGTGGCCTGCTGGGGGGCGGGCGTGGAGACAGATTTTCCACTCATGGATAGGGAGGAAAGGGCAGAGGGTGGGGGCTTCCTTGGGAAGCCCAGGGATGAGTCACCAGGGGACAGCAGAGTGGAGGGTGGAGAGGATATGGAGACCAGTCGTGCCGGGGGCCTGTAGGGTGGCGGAGCAGCAACAACGAAAGACAGACAATGCAACAGTAAGAAGGATCAGACGGGACAGCAGGAAGATACAGCCAGACTCCCCTAGGAAGTGTTTACAAGCCTCTGCAGGGCTCCATGGGATGCCGATGTGGTGCGCGTGCTCTGTGCTCGATGGAGGCAGAATGAGGCAGGATGAGGTGAAATGGACCAAGTGTAGTGTGAGGGACTCAGGCTAGACAACAGGAAGGACTTGGCTGTGAGAAGCACCAGGTTCAAGATCCTGATGAACGGCTCGGGTTTAGGAAGCAGCGGTGGCTAGAGCACTGAGCCGGCCTTGGGAGGTAGGTGCTCTATTTCCTGCATTAACAGGGAGGTGGCTAGATGGCCTCCAGGGTCCTGTCCTGGTCTGAAATTCTTAGAAATCCTGGAGCAGGGAAAGTTAGGATGGATCCCGGGCCTCCTCCTGGCCCCTCTGAGCACCCAGCCTGTCACCCTAGAGGCAGGAGAAAAAGAGGATCGCTCACCGACCATGTTGGTCCCCTAACATCTGCTCCTCCATTGCCTTGCCATTGGACAGGCATCAGCCTGAGGAGGAGCTCAGTGTCTGTCACCTTGGGTGGTCCTAGGAGGAGACCAAGAGAAAGATCAGGATACGTGCCCTGTGCCCGATGCTGGGGGACCGCTGAGGGAGACCCACACCCAGGCTCAGGGAGGCATGGAGGCCTGGAAATGGGTGTGAGAGGTGGCCATGGCCACCAGCGCTAGTTGACACAGCATCCTAAGTGAACACGTTATTGAATGAGTGAATGACGAGTGAGCTGGGAGAAGCTTATAAAGTGAAATTGTGGGGCTCCAATCAGGGACACAAAGGCTTCTTGGGTGAGGGAAGTTAGGAGCTGCTCTAGGACTTGCCTCATTGGGAAAAATCGCCTTAGTGCAGTCTCAGAGGTAGGGGAGGGGAGGGCTTGGGAGAGGCGGCAGGGGGAGGGTGTTGTAGTGTACCCCGCGAATCACACAAGGACACCTCAAGAAGTCGAATTAAGGAGCCACATTTATTTCAAAGCCGGGACTATGAGGGGGCAAATGCTCTCCAAATCTCGTAGCACCTGAGTGAGGGCAGTAGCCATCTTATAAAGGCAAAGACCACATCCTGCTAGACATGGGAATGTGGAATTATCTTGTGAAAGCAGTTTTACAGAAGCAGAATTGAGCAAAGTTAGTAATCTTTAAAGGTTATGTATAGTTTCAGTCCCTGGAGCCACTGAGTCACCAGAAAGTATTCCCGGAGCCGCCGAGTTAAGGAAAGCAATTTTGTGGATCTGGTCCTCAGACACAGGAGAATAGCCTTTGGGATGTGGGCTGGCAACATAGTGGGGTGATTTATGTGAATTTCCAGGTCTCAATCTGGAAACTGAGGCAACTACCCTATTGTTTAAGCAAGCAGGTGTGTACAGAAGCCAGAACAGCAGGGTTAAAATTCAAACAGCAGTTCTTACCCGAGATGAATGTTACTGTGCTTTATTGCTTCATGGGGAGCATGTAGGGCTGGAGGGTGAGGACTGGGGAAAAAGGCTCTACGCCAGGGGGGCCACTAAAGGGGTGGAGCTTATGCAGGGGGCAGGGAGTCCGCTCTGGTGGCACTGAGAGCTTGGCGGCTCAGGCCGATGGATGGGCTTAGAACCTTGAGCCTATGATCAGCTTAGGCATCAGAGATTCGGGCTTCCAGACCATCTGCTTTGTGCAAAGACGTTCCGCTGAAGAGAAGCTGGGAGGCTCGAACTCCATCCTGTCTGGGTTGGGCACAAGCGACTTGAAGTGCACGCTCTTTCTTGGCAGGTGAGAGGGGCTGAGGTTGTAGTGGGCTGGGATCTAGTCTTGGAATTGTTGAAGTCAGGCACCTGACAGGCCTTTCTGATAACTGTGTAATGCTGATGGTGATGATAATAGTAATAATAATCAATGTATTGTGTTCGTTATGTGTCAGGCAATATATTAAAATATTTTAAAGGCATTATTTGTTAGTACTCACAACACTCGTATAAGGTAGGTACTATTACTATACCCATTGTGCAGAAGGGGAGACTAAGACCCAGGGAGGTTGAGCGACTTGCCTAAGGCCTCGCAGCTTGGAAGCAGCAGAGCTGGGATCAGAGCTGGAGTCTAACAGGCTCCAGAGCTCTTCTCCTAACCACTAGGGTTCCCTCTCCCCTGACAGGACCTGGAGTTTCTTAAAAGTTCTACCTGTGTAGTATGTGCAACAATACTTTGCTCTCCAAACCTCCCTCACAGGAAGAGACTCTTTTTTAAAAAAATTTTACTTCAGAGAGGAAGAGAAAGGGAGAGAGAGACAGAAATATCCATGATGAGAGAGAATCACTGATTGGCTGCCCTCGGCACACCCCACACTGGAGATCGAGCCTGCAACCCAGGTATGTGCCCTTGACTGGAATCAAACCTGGGACCCGTCAGTCCGCAGGCCGCTGCTCTGTCCACTGAGCCGAACCAGCCGGGGCGGAAAGAAACTCTTTTTCTCTCCCTCCCCCAGGCTCTGACTCCTGGTTCCTCCACAGACAGGTCCTTACCTGAGGACAGAGTGTGCCTCCCCCACCAGATTGGGATCATCCTTTCACCCTGAGCCTAGACCAGTGATGGCGAACCTATGACATGCGTGTCAGAGGTGACACGCGAACTCATTTTTTTTGGTTGATTTTTCTTTGTTAAATGGCATTTAAATATATAAAATAAATATCAAAAATATTAAGTCTTTGTTTTACTATGGTTGCAAATATCAAAAAAATTTCTATATGTGACACGGCACCAGAGTTAAGTTAGGGTTTTCAAAATGCTGACACGCCGAGCTCAAAAGGTTCGCCATCACTGACATAGACTCTTGCTAGAGGTGGGGTGGGGAGGATGCAGTGAAGAAATGATGAGCAATGAGGGGCCTGAACTGGGGGACATGGCAGGGAAGAGGGTAGAAGTTGAGGTGCAGACAGTACAGAGGAGGGAGCTGGGGGAGCCCGGGGGATTTGCAATTCTGGCTGCAAAATCCTTTCCAGGACCAGGTCTCTCCGGGGCGGGATGGCCCAGGAGCTCGGCGAGAAGGAGCTATTGAGGATGGAGGTGGAGCAGCTGAAGAAGGAGGTGAAGAACCCAAGAGCTCCGGTCAGTCTCCTCTTCCCCGCCCTGCTCCCTCTTCTCCATCCCTCCTAGTTCCCATGGAGCTGGAACTCGAAGGAGGAAGTGACGGACAGTGGGGTGGTAGGACCTCTCTAGGGCAGTAGAAGGAGCAGGAGGTGCCTCTGGGATGGGGTAAGGAGGCTGGGGTTGGACCCCATGGAGATGCACAGGACAGACCCTCAGCGCCTGCCCAGCCCTGGCTCTGGGCCAGCATCCCTTGCAGGTAAGTCAGGCTTTGTGGTTCTGGACAAGGACCTGCCACCCCTCTCACACCTGCCTGTCCCTCTCATCGTTCTTCTCTCTGGCCTCTGTCTCCACCCCGTCGAGAGCCGATTTGGGGGGGACTGACCGAGTCATGGATCCTGAGCAATAAACAAGGTTGGGACCTTGCTTTGCTTTCTCCCAGATTTCCAAGACAGGAAAGGAAATCAAGGATTATGTGGAGGCCCAAGCAGGAAACGACCCTCTTCTCCAAGGCATCTCTGAGGACAAAAACCCCTTCAAGGAGAAAGGCACTTGTATGATAAACTGATGGTCCCAGGGCCCCTCGCCCTGACCTCCTGTCCCTCCTCAGCCCCACTCCTCCCCCAGAACCTGTCCTGGGATGCCCAGAGGGTCAGTGAATTTCCACCTTCTCTCAGTCACAGAAGAGGAAAGAGACAGACCTGCTTCGGGTGGTCCTGGCGCTTTGCTCTCTGTGGGTGGCTTTGGTCAGGGACAACGTTCTGCAGGCGCCATCTTCTGGAAAATGCTGCTCTTGGGGGCAGTTCCTTCAAGGGAACTGTTGTTGGGGAGGACGAGAGGTTCTACCCTGAGCTACTGGGGCTGGAACAGAAGGAAATGTGGAGGGGGTATCAGAGAGCTGGAGCAA